GGTCACTAAAATTCAATAAACAAAAATGCAAAATAATGATATTAAATATCATTATTTTGCATTTTTGACTATTACCAAATTTTGATAATAGTCAACAACAATTCGAATTTATGATCGGCGAAAAATTAGTGGTTACAAGTTTGGAAAACGATTTAGGAATTCTAATTTCAAACGATTTGGAATGGAATAATCATGTAAACTGTGCAGTGAACAAAGCGAATCAAAAACTCGGTCCAATCAAACATGTTTTCCGTTATATGAATGAGATTATGATGAAGATGTTATTTGTCTCATTAGTTAGACCTCACTTAGAATATGCAGCCACAATTTGGAACCCGTACTGGCAGTATGATAAGGATAAATTAGAGAACGTCCAACAAAGAGCAACTAAAATCGAAAGTTTACAAGAGTATAGCTATGAAGAGAGACTTAAAAAACTAGATTTATTATTGCTCGAAAATAGAAGAAGAGGGGATTTAATTCAAATGTTCAAATATTTTAAAGGATATGACATAATTAAATTTCACCGTCCACCAGAAATTATTGATAATGAAAGAAAAACAAGGGGTCACAATTTGAAATTAAGAAGGCAATTAACAAGCAACATGAAAAGATTTAACTTCTTTACAAATAGAGTGGTGAACGGTTGGAACAATCTCGATCAAAATGCAATAGATGCAAGTACCATCAATCAATTTAAAAACAGAATAGACATATCATTGCGGTTCTGTAGTGAACGGACGTGCTTTTGCTACGAAAGAAATAAAATAATAAAATTGATATTGCAAGTTTTATTTATTTGTTTATTTATTTTTCAAATCTTATCAATAATGAGTTCAAAACTTAACACTGAAGTCTCAATAAAATTAGTTCGTGAAATGTTTCAAGAAATGTTCCAAAAACAACAAAAAGATATTTTAGCGTTAATAAGTGCAAATTTAAAACTGGCTAACGATCGAATTGATGGATTGCTAAAAGAAGTTAATACATTAAAGAATTCTTGTGAAGTTTTAAAAAAGGAAAACGAAAACCGAAATACCGATCTTAAAAAAACAAACAACCAGATGATAAAGTATGAAAAAATACAAAAAGACATTGAAGAAAGTCTAACGTTCTTTCAGGATTGCCATGATAAAAAAGTCAGCGATTCGGAAAAAACATTGATAAATGATAAAAAAGTCAGTGATGTGGAAAAAAAAATATGGTCGAATACAACCATAGGGGAGAATGAAAAAAATAGATTTAGACAACCAGAAGATTGTCAAAGGAGAAACAATCTTCGAATCGAAGGAGTCAAAGAAAATGATAACGAAAACTGGGTTAATACGGAAGTAAAAATAATAAACCTTCTTGAAAATAACCTCAATGTAAAAGATGTAATCATAGAAAGAGCGCACAGAACTGGTATTATCGATAATAAAAAGCCTAGAACAATTGTAATTAAGTTACTAAATTATAAAGACAAAGTAAAGATTTTAAAAAACGCCAACAAACTAAAAGGTTCTGGAATTTATATTAACGAGGATTTTTCGCTAGAAACTACTATAATAAGAAAGAAACTTTTTGAAGAAAGCAAAGCGCATAGGATAAACGGTATATATTCTGTTTTTATATATGTTAAGCTCTTTGTTAAAGAATTTAGAAAAAAAAATCATGTTAAATGATTTTTTTTTTTTTTTTTTTATATAATTAAATTTATACTGATTTATTTTTTATTTAAAATGGCTGATAATATTGTTTTATCAAACGTAAGTTTTAATTCACAGAAAAAGCCAATAATTTTAAACAACTATTCGGATCCCGATTATAATTTTTTTAACGATAGTCAAGTAATTAAAAATACTAGCCCGATATACTATAACCCAAATTCAAAAAATATTGATAAAGGAATGGAAGTTAATTCGTTTTCAATGCTTCACATTAATATTAGAAGTATTCAAAAAAATTTTGAGTCATTGAAACAATTTTTACATAAAATTGACATTAGATTTCAGGTAATTTGTCTCAACGAGACATGGTGTCACGATGTAAGCATTGAAAACAATTCCAATTTTCAATTACCTAATTATAAAGTAATTCATCAAGTTAGAACATCAAATAAGGAAGGTGGAGGTTTGTGTATATACATAAAAAATTCAATTTTATTCAAAAGAAAACCACAGTTAAGTTCAACCACTAATGATTATGAATCTTTATGTGTTGAAATTATTAATAAAACTTCAAGAAATATCGTCGTTCATGCTTTATATAGACCGCCCTCAGGAAGTATTAAGGCATTTGAAAATCACATTAAAAGTATAATTAAAAAAAAATCATCTTTAAATAAATCGGTTTATATTGTTGGTGACATTAATCTTAATATATTAGAATAAGACAAAAATAAAAACATTAAGAACTTCTTTAACACAATTTTTCAAAATAGTTATATTCCCCTAATCAATAAACCAACGCGAGCAACTAGAGAAAGTGCAACATCTTTAGATCAAATTATTACAAATGATTTCGTAAATATTAAAATAAGGACAGGTATATTTAAATCTGACATTTCTGATCACTTCCATATTTTTATTCTATCGCAAAAATGCATCGACTATGATGCTCTTAGTGATAAAAAAAAATTAATTACAACACGGTTAATAAACGACGCTTCCATCAAAAAATTTCATAAACTTCTTACTGGTGTCAACTGGGACACCCTACAACTAAATCTAAATGCCGAT